CTTCATTAACCACACTTCTACTAATCCATTTACCAGTCTGTATATTCATTTCCACCTGGGGAAGGAGCACTGCAGCCATCAGGCCACTGTTCAGAACAGAGCTGAAGGTCAGAATATAGACTCTCGGCCATTAATACCACTCACCATAAAGCTCAGTAAATATCACAGCTCATACCAATCATTTGAGGGCCTAGCCTGGGCCACAGGTGGCTGAACCCTGGTGGCCCTGCAGCAGCTCTGGGTAAGGCAGGATCCACATGACGTATTTCACACTCCTAATCAAGTCCTGTGTCAGAATCACTTACAGAGCCCCCAAGACAGTCCCACTGTGCATAAGTGGCCATAGCCCCATTCTGCAGGAGGCCACATTGCTCCCTGTCCCCACTTCCTGCATTCCAAGGTTCTAAGGAGCAAGAATGAAGCAGAGACCAGAGACAGTTGTCAGCAGCCCTGGGAATCCTCAGCTCACAGCCTGGCCTAGGGAAGGTACCATGTGGCCTGGCCTTAGCCAGCCTGCTGCAACCAGCCTGCTGCAACAGCCATGCAGCCTGGACACTACAAGTGTAACTCATCTTCTGCCTGCAAACAAAAGCTGTCAGCTGTCCCACATCTCTGACCCCAGGTGAGGTCACAGAAAGGTAAGGACAGGGCCCTGGCACACCCTGCTCCCTGTCCTGCTCTCCATACCCTGAGTCCAATGCTTACTAAAGCACTTCCTTTTTGAAGCACAGGACACATTGAGGGGGACACACAGAGGAGCCACAGGGCTGCCAAGCGGGAGGAACCCTTATACCCTGGGGTGGGAGCTCAGGAAGGAGGGCTGGTCCCCAAGGGTTGCAGGTAACTTGTCCTGGTTAAAGGAGCCCAGTGGGGCTCAGGAAGGAATGGGGTGCCAGGATCCCAGGCTCTGCTTGAGCTCATCCTGCTCTGAATCCTGGACAAAGAAAGAGCAGAAAGAAGAAGTTCTGAGTCTTTCCAGCCCCAAAGGATCCTAACTACTGCTCAAGAGCAATCAAAGATGATCAGCAGCACAGGAGCACCCCAGGGGCTGGCTCTGCCATCCAAGGGGCAGGGGCCAGGATTGAGGGATAGGCTGAGCACAATGGCAAAGCAGGACTCCTCAGAAAGGAGTGCAGAGAGTAGGCTCCCAGTCTGCATGTCTCAGGAAGGGTATGACATTCCCAGGAGCATGCAGATAACCTACGTGATAGCACTGAGTAAACCAGAGGAAAGGGTGGGCAGGCAGCAGACACTCACAAGACTGCTCTGCTGAGCTCCATTCTTCAAATGCATTTGCTCCTGCAATTCCAGTGCCAGCTCCACTTCACAGTAAAAATGAGCCCAGGAGACTAAGGGATCCAAAGTCACCGCAGAAGACAGTGACTGGAGTCTAAGCGACTAAGCCCAATTCAGTCTGCGTTTGATATCAGTTGGGGGGCAGAGGAGCATCCTTGGGATTCACAATGACTTGTCATTCAGGAGAGGGCTACTGCACCTCTGAGATATGATGGCCAAACATTCAAAGTCATATGGAAGTCTTTCAGGGACAGAACCAGCACATAAGTCTGTGCAGGCCAGCAGAAATATGCAGGCAGTGTTTGCAAGTGAGCACTTAAGCACAGAAAACTTCTCTTTGGTCCTGAGGAACTGGGGTAGCCAAGGGGGTTCAAGATCAAGTTGAAGACAGAGCAGTGGGTGTGTCCTCTGAACATGGGTGTCTCAGATCCCCACTGAAGTTGGGGGCAAACGTGCCAAGAGAAGACCTGTGGCTTTGGAGGTCCCTTGGCACTGTGGAGTTCACACTAGTGGCCCATACCGTGTATGGCAAGCACAGCTCCCTGGTGAGACAGTCACTACATCCTCCAAAAACGTGGCATGGCTTGAGAAACTCACTGAGTCATGCTGGAGCAGAAATGAGAGATTGGGAGGAAGCCACCACTACAGGGCTGAAGTAACCTTCTCCAACGCCCAGCCCTGACCTGGACTCCATGGCCATGTGTCCCAGGTCCTGACCTGAAGCTGAGTCACCTGGACCTACAGAGGCCTTGTCTCCTAAGAGCATACAGCCACCCTGCAGGCTGTCACTGGCACAAGCCCAGCCCCTGTGGATGCAGGGCACACTGGGACTGACACAGGGCATCCCACAGATGGAGGGCATCAGTTGGGCCCAAGAGTGCCCAGTCCTGCTGGCAGAGGAGAAACTGCCTTTTCTGTCACTCAGCTTCATATGTGCACGTGCCCAGCTTTTTGGAGTGGGACTACAGAGAAGTTATAAAATATGCGTTTCTTAGCTGCTTTACAAAAGAAAATTATTCATTCTCTTCTTAAATGAAACAAAGACTGGTTTTAGAATGACTTTAATGCAATTTTAAACAGTTAATGCAATTTTAACTGTTCAAAAGCTAAAGGTAAAACTCTGCTGTGCTCTGCCTGTTTCATGCTTCTTACATGTTCCATCCCAGCATAAAGGGAACATTGGTACTGTGTGCCCAACACCAGATGAGCTCCTGGAGGCAAGCTCACTGACACCCTCAGGTCTCCGGATGGGAGGTGTGTGGGGGGCATCAGGATGCATCCCTGTGCAACGCAGGTCCAGGCACTGCTCACAATCTGGGCCTCCATTAGGCAGGAGTGGAGGAACCCCTTGGAGAGTCCTCCAGCAACAGGAAAATGAAACTGTGTTATCCATGCCTGGTGAGCAGACATGAGAAAGCCAGACAGAGATGTCAGCAATGGTATCCGCCCCCATGCCTCAATCTACAGGGTGCAAGGGCCATTGCAGGGGGAAAGGTGATGTGGGCCCTGGGGGCCAGAGTGTCACATCACACTCAGGGGCTCCTTTCTCCACAGAAGCCCACAGGACTCAAGGAGAGATAGTCTTGGAAAAAGATACTGTGAAAGAACACCTCCTGGGAAGTCCCTTGGGGACAGTGTGACCCAGGTGACAGGGAAGCCTAATTTCTTAGGGCCAGCTGGCACCTGGGTCCAGATTTGCACTCCAGGTCACCCTCCAGGACCCCACCAAGCCTATCTTGCAGACACTCTGAGGCTGAGCCAGCTGTGCCCCAAACATGCCCCAGGAATGGGCCACAGAGCTCTGCCTGCCCCAGGGTTGATCAGATGCTGCTCTTGAGATCTCAAGTATTTGGCTCTATCATCCAACTTGAATGTTTAGCTCTATCATACAATTGCTCTGCATCCTCACTACCCCATGTCTTTCTCAGGGTAATCTGCACAGCTCAGAGCCCATGCACTCATGTCAACTATCCATCACCTGTGTCTCTAGATGCCAGGCTTGGAGAGCACTATAGCTGACATAAAGCCATGCCCCCACATGTGTGTAGAAATCCCTGTGTCTTCTGGCCTGTACCTGGGGCTGGGAAACCCCACAGAGCCCCTCAAGTGGAGCAAGCTGTGGTGAGATGACTCACTCTGCTGAAGGTCACTTATGGGAAGTGACTAGGTCATGAGGCTCTGACTTCTTGGTTGATTAATCCACTGATAGAGTTGCTAACATGATGGCCTTATCTGGAAGTGAAGGACACAGGAGGTGGGGCTCAGTTGAAGAGACTGGGCCCTGAGGGGTGACCTTGGGGACTGTATCTGGGCCCCTTCTCTCTGTCTTCGTCTCCTTCTGCTTCCTTCTGCCCTGAGGCAACCAGCTTTCTTCTATCACACCCTTTCACCATGTTCTTACCTGGGGGCCAACCATGGACTGAATCCTCTGAATCCAGGTGGCACCTGAGGGGATGAGAGCGAAACCTCTGCTTCTTGAGGTTGACTTTGGTCACTGTGAGAGCTGACCAACATTCCTACCAGAGGCCTCTGCTTTGGCTTCCTGTTACAGGTGTGTATTGCCTGGAAGCTCCTGGTTCTGTCCTATTTCCAGTGAGATCTCTGCTGGCCCTGGGTCAGCGTAGGCCTAGGTCAGCCATTGCTGGAGCTGGCCAGCCCTGAAGCCATTCTGGGATCTGTTCCCTTCTCAAGGACCCAGCTGAGTACTCCATGAAGTCACATGGGACAGCACCGGGCACCAAGGCTCCTGGGCCTCTTGAGGAACGGAAGCAAACTAGGCTTGGAAGCAGCTGCCCTGGCACCAGACTGAGGGAGGAGGGTGACCTCACTGGCTTCGGAGAAGCAGCACCAGCCAGGTGACAATGGGAATTAGCATTTGAACACCTTGATTAAAAGAAGGAAAGATGAGTTGGATCCCTGAATGAAACACATTATTCACTGTCAGGCTGAACAATAGAACAAGACATAAATAGCAGCCAGTGTGGGACCTGACGGTTTCACTCAAATGCGGTATGCACGGTACTTATGAAGTCCTTGGAGCCTCACTGCTGGGGCAGGGACAGCAGCAGTAGGACCCAGTCTCACAGCTGAGGTAAGGCAGAATCCTAGCTTATGACTCACAACTGTGGGGCACAGGGGGCAGAAGGACCAAAGGCAGCAAGGAAGATGGAGACGAGGAGAAGGAGGAGAAAGTGGAGGAGGAGGACCCATGTGGCAAACCAGCCTCCAGCTCCATCCCCTGGACCTTGAGGGCTGTAAACGCACTGATAATGAACCAAGGAGATCCAGGGGCCCAAAGCCAGGCTGGTTGTATGACTCTGACTCTCCTGGACAGCTCCACAGGGTTGGGCAGCCTCTGGCCCTACAGCTCAGCTGTGACTCATGGCCCTGGAGCCATTAGTTCCTGTGGCTGACCTGGGTCTGAACAGGGTCCCATGAGCCCACAGCCCTGGAAGGTCTCACCTGGTACTTGCAACAGTGCTGAGAACCAGAATGGGTAATGGGCCCAGTGGCCAGCCCATCTGGCACCTAAGACCTTGAGCTCCGAGACCACTGTAGCGGGGCCATGTATCAGCCCGTCTCTCCAGCATCTTCCAGCAAGCCCAGTGGACAGCAGATATTAGTGTCCCACCCCCCAGGGGTAGGGAGGCTGGATCATCGCTCTGGGCACAGCTGTGGTGGACACAAAGGCCGGCAGACCCTACCTTGGTGAAAGTCAGGCAGTCTTGGTCCTGGTCACGGTCCTTCATCTCAAAGTCATACAGCGCTGTGCCCTGGGGCGGGGCCTGCGGCAGGGGCCGTAGGCACTGGACATAGCTGGCTGGGAGGAAGCCGCGTGTGCCGTGCAGCTCACCGTGGAACCAGTGCTCATCCACCCGGCGCCGCAGGATGATGACATCCCCCTTGTTGAACTTGAGGTCCCCTGGTTCCTTCCCCTCATAGCTATAGAGGGCCTTGCCATACGGGAGTTGGGACAGGCTCTGGAAGCAGAAGACAACACAGGGTCACTGGAATGGCAAGGCACTTGCTGGGTGGCCCAGGTTTCCAGGGGCCCTCTGTGTCCTGGGGAGCAGGGAGCCTGTTGTCCAGGAGCCCAGAACTCCCAGCCCAAGGTCCTCACTACAGTGAGAGCTGCCCTCCCTCACCTTGAGAGGCCAAGTCCACAAGCGACCTGCCCATACCCAGGGAGCTACAGGTGTGAGTTCTTAACCACCCACTGCAATGTGCTGAATTGATTCACACTGGCTTCAGTTTCCCAGGGATGTTTTGGATAAAGCCACCAGATTCTAAGGCACTATCCCGACAGAATTCTGCTTTGCCTCCTAACTCCTTAACTCAGGACATGGGGGTTCTAGGCTCACACCCCACCTCATAGATCATGCTGCACCACCCCCCTCCTCTGCAGGCTCAAGTGGCCACATACTCACCAGGCCCAGGATAGGGACCAAGGTCCCCATCACAGACCCCCACAGGCCATGACACATGCTTTTGATAGCAAAGGCTTAGTCCTGTCCTCTTGATCAGAGACTCCTCCTGCCATTCCATCAAGGGTGAGCAGCCCACCCACTCTGTCCCAAATGGAGCTACCCACTTTGGTCTCAAACTCAGTCAGCCCTGAGACATCCACCTCCATCTGCCTTCCTTCCTGAACAAGGCTTGACCTAGTATTGCAGCAACCCCTGAGCTCCTCCCGCTGGGCCCCGTGCTGCAGACACTGGGCTGTGTGGGCTCCATCTTCTTACAGCTGGCAACACCAGCCCAGTGGTGGGCTTAGCCAGTAGCCCTGTCCGTGCAGAGGAGTGCTATGCTGTGACACCCACCTCCTGAAGTCAAGCTTTTGTACCAGGTTGCCTGTCCCATGACCCCTTCAGTGCTCAAACCATCAGCAGCAAAACAGAAGCTGCCATGTAGCAGCAACCCGGCCACAGCAACTCAGGCACAGCAGGTGGACCAGACAGCAGGAGAGGCGGTCACTGCCAGCCATGGCAGGACAGGCCAGAGGGCATGGAGAAGAAAACCAGCGTGGGTCCAGGACACTCACTCTGGACAGCAGTGCAAGGAGCATAGATGGCCACAGCTCAGCTTTCAGAGAGAGAGAGAGAAGCAAAGGGAGACAAAGGAGGACACAAGTGCTCCAGATCAACCATGTCAAGTCACTGGGACACCATCACTGTGAGCCACTGGGAAGCTACCACTGTGGGCCAGAAGCATGCCACTGCTACCACTGCTGTGGGCCGCCAGGATATACAAGGCTGGCCAGCCAGGGCCCAGAGATTCACAGGCAGTGAGTATGACGATGTCTAAAGATGTCCTCAGCTGTCACACTGCATTAATGTCTGCAGAGCAGAGATCAGTCAAGCGGCACCCACTCCAACACAAGGACACTTAGCACCATGGATCACTGGGCCTGTCAGTGTGAGTCTGCAAAACGTCAGGATATCCTTTCCTCCCTCCCTGCTTCCCTCCCTCCCTTCTTTCCATCCTGTTTTGTTTTGGATTTTTTTCCTTTTTCTTTTTGAGACTGGGTCTCACTAGGTTGCTCAGACTGCCCTTGAACTCATGACATTCCTGCTTCAGCTTCCTGAGTAGCTGGGATTATAGGTATACATCACCACACCCAGCCAGGGTGACTTTCTTGTTCTCTTTCAACTTAGCTTACCATTATATTAAAAGTTAAATATAACATTTATTTTCATGACGGCCATATTTTCACCATGGCTACAAGGAGAAGCTTGAGTTTCCATCCAAAGAGAAGGTTTTAAGGGACAGAAGGAAAGAACCGCGTCAAGTTTGAAAAGCTACTCTACCAGGGCACAAGGGTTGCACGAGCCTACCCCTGCTCCTGTGACTATGGGCACCCAGGCAGCGTCCCAGGGCCTCAGCCTCATGGCCAGCTGGTTGTTCTCACTGCTGATGATCACCGCGGTAAGCAGGCAAGGCTGGGCTCTGCCACCCCACAGATCTCATGTTGCCCAGCATGATGTGGATGCCTGACCCCACTGCACCCTTCCCAGCATCCTCTAGATAGCTGACAGAGGCCGCCTGCAAACACCACTTATACCACAGTGTATGCTGTGGCCCCCACTTGCATGGTGTGGCTAGGAGAGTCATGCAGGGAACAGGGAAACTGTGTCACTGTCTTCTCATCCTGGTAGGCAGGCATTCTGGGGCCCCTTAACCGAGCCCTGGCCCAAGGTCACTCACCACGATCACACACAAGCTTCACTTGCCCAGTGTTCCAACTCTCAGACACTCCAGTTCCACCTTCCTCTGCAGTTGCTGCTCTGGGTAGCTCTGTAGGGCACCTACAAGCTCTGCGAGCCTGCTCTGCGGCCCTGGTCCTGACCAAAGACTCCACCAGCTGCCAAGCAAGTGCACCCCACGGACTCCATGTCCAGGCTGTTGGGGACCCTGTGGCCTTCGGTCCTATTCCCCTACCCCTGCCACACTTCAAACCAAACTAAGTGCAGCCTGCTGTGTGAGTATATGTTCCCAGCACTTCCCCACTACCCTCAGGCTCCTCAACATAGCAGCCACAGCCACTGATGGCACCTGTCCTTTCCAGCCACCACAAGAAGTATCTACTCCGAGGGAGGATGTGGTCCTGGGGCCTACAGGCTTCACAGATGTAGCTCCTTCCCACCATGCACAAGCTGGATCCCAAGGATGGGAGGAGGATGAGGAGGGGGAGGAAGGAGAAAAGGAGGAGGGAGAGGAAAAGGGAAGCAGGGGACAGAGGAAGCTGAGGGTGACAGGATGACATCCACTGCTCACCCCATCTGCCCAGCACTGGACAGAGCACATAGCCCAGAAGAGCAGGAACCTAAGACCCAGGGTCCCTGTCTGAGAGCAAAATATAAGGTCAGGGAGGAGACAGCTCACACAGGGTAGAGGAGTTGGGTCCCCACAAGGCTGTCAGGACCTGCTCAGAGATAGGGACCTAGGACATGTACACCTTACAACCTCAGTGCCTGTGAGGCTCAGGGGCTATGAGCTCTATGGGGAGAGATTCCTGCAGACTCACTATGCTGCCCAGGTCCTGGGGTTCATGCCCTCATCCCAGCCCAGGAGCCAACCAGGTGCTCTGAGCCACAGCCTTTCTGCCCACAGACAGACACCCCTGGAACACAGTGGGGCATGCCCAATACTGCTGTGAAGCCACCACCAAGGAAAGAAATAAAAGGCAAAGGTGGAAAGAGACTGAGATGCCTACAGCACAATGCACACCAGCTACTCCCACAGGGCATAATAATAATTAAAACCCAGAATGTCAATTTCACAGCTCATTACGTAGATGTGGTACACAGATCTTCCTCTGGCTTAACGTCCTACCCCGTGGAGAAGAGATGGCACTCACTCAACACACACACACACACACACACACACACACACACACACACACACACACAGCAGATGACTCTAGGGGATCATACTCATGTGGTGGAGGCTGTGATGAAGGGGAGAAGCTGGTCTCTGTAGGACCCTGAGAACTCACCGCTGTCCCTGCCCACACCTTCTATGGGCAACAGAGTGCCAAGAAAAGGGTTAAAATAATGAGAGCTAAGGAAATGGATGTATTCATTAGATGAATTCAGCTGCATGCCATTTCTTACAAGGAAGGGCTGGCTACTCTGGCTTGGGAAAGAAATATTCTTTACAGAGAGCCTTGAGTGTACTATTAGTGTGTATGTCTTATTTCTAGCCAAGGCTGGGAAAGCTCCCTTCCAGCCACACAGCCCTACTGGCACTACGTCACTTTTCTCTGAACATAGTACTTGAGAAATTGTGGAACTAAATGTGGTGTGGTATTTTCTCTCTCACTGCTAAAGGGTCCATCTCATACAAGAGCCTTTCCCAGAGGATTCCCTTTCATCTTTGGTGCTGCCTTGGTGTATGATAATATATTATTTAACTATGTTCATGTCTGCTGTACTTTCATAAGAAAGTTACTTTCATCTTTTTAAAGCCATTATTGGCTCTTCTCTGTTGGTGCCAATCCAAACTTCAACCTTCTGTGGCCACGTATATGTGACTCCTTGCTGTTACACAGAGCACACTGAGTGCAGTCTCAAAATATCCATCAGAGACTGTCTGAGAGTCATCAAAATCAAAACAGAGTCATCTTTGTGGGGTCCTAAACAAAGAATGAACTCACAAAGCCAGAGGTCATGAAGTGGGGTCTGGGGTACTCATGCTGGGGACAGGAGCTACTCCAGGAAGACTTCTTGAACCATGTCCAGACACAGACCACACAGACGTGCTGCACAGAAACCTGTCTGCACAGGCCTGCCCAGCCACTGCGTGTCCAGCCTCAGGGTGATGCCACTTGCTTCTCAGCCTCCAGCAGGGACTCCAGCAGGGACTACACAATTCTCCTCACCATGCCCTAGAATTGCCTGTGCCCACAGTTTACTATGGCACCTGTGTTCCTATCACAAGTAAAGTTCAATCTTTATTCTCAGGACATGCCATGATTATTCAGGTTGACAAGGACCTGGACTTGCACACCAGTACCCTGAGTTGGGGCCTGGGCTAAGAGAAACTCCCTGTTATTTTCCCAGGATGTGGGTCCACAAAGTAAACTGAGAACCTGGGCTGCTCCTCCTCTCTATAAACAGTGCCCCTCACACTCCTCAGGTTGGTCCAGCAGGCTCCCTCTGTGCACTGCCAGCTGTGCTGCCCTGCTCTGTGCTCCTGTTACCCACCCATGGTTCTTATCACCAGTGGAGAAGATTGAGCAGGTTGTACTAAGGAAGAACTGGTAACACCAAGCACTATCAACCCTGAAGAGCTCCAGAGAGCAGTGGAGCCCCAGCCACATCCCTCCCTCCGTCAGTGCCTGCACATCCAGGGCACAGTACTCTGGGGCCTTGTCAAACAGGGAACCCAGATGCCCACAGATTGGCTTTCAGATGCCCCAACAGTGAATCTTCAAATGAGGAGTTGTCTGACAATGACATTGGTTGGACTTTGCTGTAGT